CACATTTTACACTGTAACCTAGGACAGATGGCCAAGTATAAAGGAAAACATAAAAATAACCTGGTAACCCCAAACATACATCTCTATGGGGACATAAATCCCCCCAAATATATGTCCTCCATGGATTTCTGGGGACACACATGGGCTTTCCCACCCTAAAAAGCTTTCACTTGCGGACAGAAATGGCCTGCGATACAGAACTGTAACGCTCTGAATGGTTTATGCTGTTCTTCTATTTACTAGAAATAAGTGTTCTCAGGTTTTGTTCCCCGGAGTAGAGAAAGCCAGAAAGTAGAGAAAATGTCAACAAAGCATATTTTGTTGACCTAGTTTTTTTATTTTAATGATAAAACAACATATTTCCCTGTGTTTATTCAATGTTTCGGGACCAGACTTTTCTTCCTGTATCTCAGCTAGATTTAGGTTTTATTTTGATGGAAGGTAATTTTAAGCTCCCGAAGAGAGTCTTCATCCATTTTGTATTGTTTCATGCTTCTTTACACTACAAAGCATTTCACAAAAATGCTATTTTTTGCTTTGTGCTTGTATAACACCTTGTCTGACATGAACTCCAATCTCACTGGAACATCTGGTTCCTGTGGTGGTACAGGTTGTGAATTACATATGCACACGCAGTTCATTTTCTTAAAACAGGGTGTCACTGGACCAGCAGGACCCCCAGGTCCAAGAGGCTTGCCAGGAAATGTGGTATGTATGCGCCAATGTATTTGTTTTCCTATCTGTGCTTTGATTTCTTTATTTAATATGTTTAATTTTGCCTTCCACGGGGTTTACTATTAGGTTCAAAAGGCTGTGTTTCATCAAACTTTTTTTATGGCTGAACTGAAAGATTTGAAGGCATCTGGGAATATGTATCCATGAAACATTCTTATATTCATTTGTAGCAAGAGGGAGGCATGGAACTACTTCTCACCAAATTGTCAAAAGCAATTTTTGCTGCCAGGTCTTTAAGAGAAAAATTGCAATGTTTATTGCCTCTCTGGTTTTGTTTCCTTTGACTCATTTTCATTTGTCCTTTCCTTTTGAAAACATGATTTCTTGATATAAAAATTGCATAGTAAACTCCCATTTTTATTATGAAAGCATGTAAGTCAGAGCCTTGAAATCAATACGGTGTCCTCCTTACCTTGGTAGATGTTCATCACCATTATTAAGTTGTGCACAATAAAGCATTTCATGTTTGCAAAAAAATCTTTCGACTAACTCTACTCCCTGCTCCACCAGAGTAATTTTCTTTCTAGTGCCTGGGGTTTCTCCAGGGTTACACTGGAGTAACTGAAAATCAGCAGTTATACCCTATGTTATAACGTATTCAGGCACAGTGGTTTAGCACAGAGGGCTCTTTAAGGCAGAGTTTATTACCAAGAAATCTTAAATTGCCTTTCTACTAATTGTTAAGATACATTTGATTTAATTGTGTTAATGTAGTGATTTAATTTCAGTTGATTCAAATGATATCGAAAATGAAGACCTTTTCCAATTTCAAATTCCTTTAAGCAAGCTTCTATACCAGTAATACCAATATATTACCTATAAAAGCTAATATAGTTGGAAATAATTTTTACTTGTGCAGAAAGGAAAATAATTATTGGATCCATCCTGTGAGGAGGTCAATCTAGTCTTATTGGTGCCAAGACATCATTTCATATCTTAAAATGGAGTAGAACTCCATAATGTGTTTTGGTGAGTAAGGAAGTTACAGAATTTAATTTGGAGCTCTAAATCATCTATATTTTGACAAGGAATCCTTTGAGATCTGCCAAGATGTGAAAAGGATTGAAAGCTGAAATAGAGGGTAAAATGAACATAGCTATGTTTTCCAATGTATAGCTTTGGAGAGCAGTAGCCATAAAAGATGAATATTGTAAGACTTTTGGCTTCTCTGATACAGAGGTGATGTCTGGGGGTTTGTTGGGCATGGACTAGGAACTGCTGAGGATTTCACAGAAAGAAAAAAATAGTTATTGGTATAAGAAGAATGCACAAATCCGGGATTAGCTCTATTTCTGCTTTTGCTGTTCAGCTCTTTTTTATATTAAAAAAAAAATAACTCCTTTAAGCACTTGGTACACAGCTCTTCTGTGATGTTCTCTGGATTACAGGTTGTTTATGCTGGGAAATGTAAAACTGATACTACTCCTTGAGATAGATTTTACTGAATCCACAGGTCTATCCATTTACTTTAGGATCAAATACTGCTTAAAAAGAAAGTTTTAAGCTTTAAAGTTCTTTTCTCTCCAGGGTGTGCCTGGAGACCCTGGACTACCAGGAAAGGAGGGAGAAAAGGGGGAAAAGGTGAGTTTGTTCTTTCGTGGATTTGTTTCTTTTTTTCTTGCACATTTTAGGTAACCTGGGACAGAAGCAGTTTGAACTGGGAAATTACTTCATAGATTCGTGGACGGTTAAGAAACACGGGCTCATTAGATCATCTTGTCTGACCTCCTCTATTACACATGCTATAAGGTTTTCACCCTGTTGCAGCTTTATAATTTACCTAATAAAACCACTGAGATACAACTGGATACAGTAAAGTCCTGCTACACGTTTTGCAATGATGATCTTCTGCTGTCCTCATTGCCTTACAAGAGCAGGGATCTGGTGTTCTAAGTACCTCTTGTTCATCACTGTAAATCCAAAACTGAAAGAAAAACTGGCTTTCATGGTTAGGAAACTGAGATTTCTGCTTTCCTGATAAGCTGTTGTAACTGGACCATTAGTTCAGCTTTCCAGTGCATCCTCACTTACCTTTTGCCTGCCTTGCCTAACTGTTATGTCCCATCTCATAGCTAGGCAGTGAGCTTTCTGAGGTTAGGTGTTTGTAATTTGCTCATACATTGCACAGTGCCCAGCATGCTGAACTCCTGATCTTTGTTTGCTGGAGTAGGAATGAATAATCAGAAACCACATATGCATATATACAGGCCCCATATATGCATATATACAGGGCTTAAAAGGGGATGAATCCCAGCCTCTTCAGTCAAATCATCTTCCAGATTACCGAGATCTACCTCAGGGTCATGTATTGACCAAGGGCTCTCTCATATAGCTGGTTCCCAAAACATTTTGAAGTCTTCTTTTACTTTCCATGAGGAAAATTACAAATGCTTTGAGATTACTGAAGGAAAAGAGGGTTTGCTATGATACCAAGTGAAATTCAGATGAGAAGGCTAGAAAAACCACATACCTTTCAGTCCCAATGAAAGACCTGAGAGAGGAATGGTCTTTAGTATGCTACTAAGAGTTTTTTGGATTATCTTCTACAGGGTGATCCTGGAAAAGAGGGAAAAGTGGGTTTACCTGGACCAGCTGGTGAGCCAGGGCCTGCTGGAGAGCCAGGTTTGCCTGGTAAGGGTAAAGATGGAGAACAGGTAAGTACTGCTGGTAGGCTTTGCGCTTGAATAGTTCAATGTGAGATAGACGAGCACGGCTTCTGCAGGAGAACGGTGGATTTGCAGTAGAGTTAGGCTGCATTGTCACATGTGCTCGCAGCTGTCTACCAGAAGACATGAAAGGCCTGGCTGTGCAAAATGCTGAAGATCACAGTGCTGTATCCACAAAGGCAGAGAGAACTGAGGCTGTGTTTCTGAACATTAAACCTCTTTCTGTGTGCCATGGTGGTCATTGAAAATGGAGACCTCCACAAGGAGTAACGGTTGTCCTTGTGACCAGTACAAAAATTATTAGCTTGGTGAAAGTTTCCTAAAAACATTTAATTCTAGACAAGTTAGCAGATTATTTAATTTTCTTACGTGTTATCAGTAAAATATTGCTGTGACAGTGTGAGGCAAGGAGGGGGGTGGTGGGGATGCTTGCTGCCTTGACTGCCTCAAAGTCCAGGCTCCTGTTTGGCTGCGTGGTGACTGTTTTCTGGTTTTGGCTCTACCACTTTAGGGACAAAGAGGCCCACCAGGCTTGCCAGGACCCTTTGGACATAAGGTGAGCATGGACTTTATTGTGGACTGCTTCTCTCAGTCGCTGGAACTGGAGAAAAAGTTATGGTGAAAACATGGTCTGTTTTTCACTGGAAAATAGAGTTTGTCAAGCTGTCACTCAAAAACGCACTTCTAGCCTTTTAGGAGGTTCCTTTCTTTATTATTGCAATATGTCTGTAGGTGTAAATATTAAGATATTAATTAGCTGTGTTCACTTTCCACATTTAAAATTTCTTCCAGCATTATGTGCATTCAACACAAACCAAGGGCTAAATGCACACCTTTTCAGGGTAACTGTGACTGGGGACCTTTAATCCATACAGCTAGAGAGACATTGCGTAGCTAAAGGGTGGTCTATTCTTGAGACCATCTGTCAGGCCCTCAAAGAGCACTCCTCTGTAGCACTCATTTCCTTCACCTCTCTCAAAGTAGGATGTGAATTATTTTCCAATGGGACCAGATAGTCCTGGTTTGCCCTCCTCTATTGTAGTTAAGGCAAAGACTAACCAGTTGGTGAGGTTAATGACACCCATTTCTTCATCTGAGAGTAATATTTATTCCCCTGTAAATACACATCAAATAGAGGAAGGAATGAAAGCAAAAACCCTTGTTTCTGGGAGCATCTGGATTGTGCTTAAATCTTCAATCAGAAATGTCATGAAAGAAATCATGACAGAAATTCATGTCAGAAATTCTCCTCTTTGAAATGACCGTGTCCTGATCTGTATTGGAAGAAGAACAGGATGTTGAAACAGATTCTGTAAATGAAACAAGTAGGAATACAGCAGTATCAGACTAGATCCATCTATGTCCCATATTTTTGAAACAACCAAACTGCTATGAAATGTTTTGTTTTCATTTTGCTGCATTCTGTATAAATGCATTGTAGTCTGTTGTATAGTCCTTGACAGTTCAGAACACACACACAATAATAGACTGAGAATTCATATAAAAGTCAAAAAAAAATCCTAAAAGACATCTTGTGAAATGTTCTTTCTGTTCAATATCAACACAAGATGGTAAGAATCTTAATTGTGCATGGGAAAATACTATTGAACTTTTTGTATTGAAATTATGTTCTTGAATAAAAAAACCAGATAAGGGATCTGCTGGAGCTTTTGAACTAATCAGAATACATTTTCTTTCACTGTCCTTGCAGTATTATTTCTTTGTAATATAAGATCAGTTTAAGACGAAAGAAAGGGAAAAAAAATAGGAGACATTGCAGACTGAATTTTGTGTGGACAGAATCCATGTGTAACAATTTTTCTATCATGCTTCTATATAACAGGAAATAGTGTAATAATAAATAAGATAAATAAGATTAATCGTTATAAGTCTACTGCCAAAGCAAGACTGACTCTCACAACTGCAATACAATCCATAAAAGTCTTATTTGGTTTCTCCCTATAACAAGAGAACAGACATTAGATTAAAGTATTGCAGATGAATTCTTTCTTAACTCTGTCTACAGTGCCCATTAAACAGTGTCAAGTTGTTGTCTGGGATCTGCAGGTTTTACTATTGAAAATTCTGTTTTCTAGAAGGGAGGTCTCTCCTTTTGTAGTATAATCCTCTAGAAAGAGTGGTAGAACTGTTGAAAATTTTTTTTACAAAAAAATATTCATACGCTTCTGTGAGTAGGCCTATGTTGATGAATGAAAGAAGAATATTAAGATGTAACTGAACATCCCTAATTCTGTCTTCCCTGGATGAATAATCTGTATTTATTGGTGTTTGCATGTTAGCCATCTACCGTAGAAGCACAAAGAAAAGCGCATTATGGTGCTTAGTGTTTCCCCAAGCCCAGGAGAGTGCCTGATACCCTGCAGGCAATTGCAAATGCTGGCAATTGGATGCTGTGCACCAAAATAAATTAAAATACTTGTCAAGGCTGTGTTCCTGCTCAGTTATGTGATGTGGCACACACTGACGTTGTGTGAGTGCTCACAGAGGTGGGCTGGGGCTGGTGTGAAGGAAGGGGACAGTTTTCTTGGCATGATGTGACAGTAACTGTGCCATGTCCCCATGCTGCCTCAACCTGATACCTGTGGGCAGGATCAGGTCAGGATGCATCAGTGTTGCGTTCTATTGTAAAACCTGATTGCATTTGAGCACATTTTCTCTACAGTGCATAAAGCCTTTGATTTCTTCCTTTGTTTCAGGGTGAGAGGGGAGCTCCTGGCCTCCCTGGACAGCCAGGAGACAGAGGTGTGCCAGGAATTGGGCTGGCTGGACCCCCTGTAAGTAGCAGGTCTTGCTGCAATCTTTAACAAGGCTTGCCCATCACCGTCATCTCAGAAATGTATTGCCTCTGCTCAGCTGTGCCAAGAGCCTGTGGGACATTTTACCCTCTGAAGATGCAAACCGCAAACTAATCCAGAGGCTACAATTTGTGGCGCAGATGTCTACACGTCCATCGTGAGGGCTCTCGATGCATTTGGTTTTAGTTGAAAGAGAAAGGCAGAAAAGTGCTATAGGAGTGATTGATATCACTGGCTGTTACTCCTGACTTTTCTGCATCATCTTGACACATTGGCTGTGGATGGGAATCGAGATCCATGCTGAGCCAGCAGGTCTGGTCTACTGGGCAGATGATACTTTGCTGTCACCCTGTTAGAATGAATGTGACACACATGCCCACATCAGTGACATAGTCAGCAGTCTAATAGGGAAACACAAAATCAAATTGCTGTGTTCCAAGAGAGCCATCATCCCTCTATTTTCCCACAAATATTTAGTTGGACCTCATCCAGCTCTGCCCCCCCCTCCTCCTTATCAGTAGGCCATGACATGTATCTGGGAGTCTGCTCTGGAAAGTTGGATTTTCATATCGCTGGGGTTTGATCATTCCAGTACTTGTCAGGTACAACTCCACTTGTGATGAGAGGGATTTGGGACTGCTCTGGCTGTAGCCCTGCTCAGAATCCTCCTGATATGGACTGAATTTGCAAATGAAATATGTTTAGGATGAAAGAAAGTTTATTCTTTTGCAATTGGTTGTACATGCCATGATACTGTGCCAGTTACAGTCAATGTTTTCATGCTCTGATTATCTAGATATAAGTTTCCCAATTAGTACAGGAAGTTACCTTGAAATGATTAAGTCAGATTGCTGTGTAATACTAGTTGACAAATCTAGCTTTCTGAGGTGTATGTCCACTTAATATTTGTTTTTACCATGCTGACAGGTAAAGCTGACTGGGTCAGTCATGTTTCACACTGTGACTGTGTGATGGCCTTCATTGTCCTCACAGGGTTACTGATGATTGAAGATTTGCTGGGTGTTATTTGTTAGGATTTATCTAAGGAACAGTGGTGTTCTTGCATTTCTTAATGTTCGGTTATTAATATTAAAATTAAAATTAAATTAGCAAATTAGTATTTGGCTTGTTTGAATGTCACTAGCCTGTGCCTAGTTTTTAATTACTGATTTTTAGATTCAGTACAGGGGTAGATGAGTTGACTTCTGCATCCTGATGTACACCAGATGACAAAGTAATTCTTCATTAGGGCTTTAGCATCCACATATCCTTGAACAAAAATGACTAAGAATTTGACTCTGAATGCAGACATCACTTGTCTTACCCAGAAGATTACTTTTTTCTGTGTCTTTATTGTTTGACCACTGTCAGGATGAGTAGCCACCTACATACCCACACTTTTTCCAATTGATTTGGTTTTATTTATTTAATCTGCTTCACTAAATACTTTTTTTTTTAACAACTATTATGATGATATTCTCCACTGTAGATTCATCATAACCTCAGCTCCAATGCAGACTGGAACTTGAAATACACTGTATAACCTTGAATCCATCAGGCTTTTACAAAGACTGAGTCCCACAGAAAAATATTAGAATAAAGTCAGTGGAGCTGCTTCAGCGCATATTACACACTGAATTAAAGGTGTCAGCCTATACCCTTTTTAGTGATATGACAAAATTGTGCATATAATACTTTCAGCTTCAGAGCTGAGCACCAGCAACTCTTTTTAATTAGAGTCCTCACCCTGTTTCCTCCTGTGCCCTTAACTTCTCTCAGGCTTTGCTCCCTGCATAAAAGGTGTATATAGATGAGGATTTTTTTTTACATTGTCTGCTGAAGGATTGAGTTACTATTTACATAACACTGAGCCATAAACTGAGTATTGGCAAAGCGTGTTTCTCCCAACGGAACCATAAGCAGAAGAGGGAACTACTTGGAGAAATTGGGTGAATTCACATGCTTATGCTGAAGTTGCCTAATGGATGCATGTGCTGCACAGGTAGAAGGATTTTGCTCTTGCTCTGCCTTGCCGTGTTCATATTACTATGGGTTCAGAATTATGTATTTAGCCTTTGCTGGAGCAGAGCATTAAGGCATCTTGCATGGAGGACTGTATGAGGATTACTGAATTAATGTGCCTGAAATAGAAACCAAAGGGAGAGGATTCATAGTGCGAGACAATTTATTCAAACGCAGCCCCAGAGATGTGAGGTCAAGCCTTGTTTTGGGTGTCTTTGGAATGCCAAATTGACTCATCCATGCTGGATATGGGTACTGCATAACTTCTGTGGTGTTCCTACAGAAATGGATACCTTCCATGGCTCTATCTATTCAGCTGCACCTTTTAAAGTTGCATCTCCAAGTGAATAGCACAGGCAAGCCCACTGGCTTGCTTTGACCTCATTTAAAGAGCACACAGGTCACATGAGATGCTTTTTCATGTGTTAGAGGTAGCTGAATATAGTGGTCTTCAGGACCTGAGGAATAGTAGGTAACTGAATACAGTGGTCTTCAGGACCTGGGGAATTGTCCTGTCCCAGCCCAACAGATGCAAGGGTGCTGTGGTTCTGTGTCCCCAGATCTAGCAAGTAGCGAGGCTGAGCACCTGTTGCCAATGTGAATATGCACATGCCATGCACATACATACACACACATACGTGTGGCTACACAGACCAATGCAGAGAATAAGTTCAGTATCACACTCCTATAAACCTAAACAGCACTCCCAGAAACATGAGCAAGAATGTCTCAATCCCACTCCTCTTGAGTTGATGAGGTTTGAAGGCCACTGTTGGAATATATACATGAAATGTGGATCTTTCCACTGGTCCTGGACACCTACTCTGTCCAATACCCAGGCTTCTGCACCCCGGTGTCCTCCAGTAGCTGGCATCCAGACTTGCAAGCCCCCTGGGTTCACAGTCTTGCAACTCAGTCACTGGCACCCAAACCTCTCCTACTCACCAGCTCATCTGACTTGAAGCTCACTAAGATTCAACCACACAAGCTCAGATTCATGAGCTCATCCATGCTGAAGAGTGTTACAAACAGGATTTAATGATAGTATAGTAAATAGGTTGCATCAGGTTGACAGCCAGTCACCAGAGGGTTCCCCAGGGCTCAATTTTAGGGCCAGAGCTCTTTAATGTTTTTATAAATTATCTGGATGCGGGAATTGAATATACGTTAAGTAATTTTGCCAATGATACTAAACTAGGAGGAGCTGTGGACTTCCTTGAGGGTAGAGAGGCCTTACAGAGAGATCTGGATACACCAGAGAGCTGAGCAATCACCAACCATGTGAAATATAACAAAAGTAAGCACCAGATTCTCCACCTAGGTCAGGGTAATCCAGGTTACACATACAAATTGGAGGATAAGAGGCTGGAAAACAGCCTCGAAGAAAGAGATCTGAGGGTTTGGGTTGATGTCAAGTTGAATATGAGTCAACAGTGTGTCCTGGCAGCCAAAAGGGCCAACCATGCCCTGGGGTGCATCAAGCACAGCATAGCTAGCCGAGCCAGGGAGGTGACTGTCCCACTCTACACTGCACTGATGCGGCTCCACCTTGAGTACTGGGTGCAGTTTTGGTCACCTCAATATGAGAAGGTGATCAAACTATTCTAGTGCATCCAGAGGAGAGTGACCAAGATGGTGAAAGGCCTTCAGGGCAAGACTTTGGAGGAGCAGGTGAGGTTGCTTGGTTTGTTTACCTTGGAGAAAAGAAAGCTGAGGGGTCACCTCATCACTGTCGACAACTTCCTCAAGGGGGGCAGTGGAGGGAGAGGTGCTGATCTCCTCTCTCTGATGACCAGAGATAGGACCCAAGGAAATGGGATGGAGCTGCCTCAGGGGAAGTTCAGATTGGACATTAGGAAAAGATTTTTCACTGAGAGAGTGGTCCATCCTGAACAGGCTTCCTGGGTGAAGTGGTCATGGCATCAAGGCTGTCAGAGTTCAAGGAGCATCTGGATGATGTTCTTAGTCATATGATTTAGTTTTAGGTAGTCCTGCAAGGAGCAGGGAGTTGGACTCAATGATCCTTATAGGACACTTCCAACTTGAGATTTATTCTATGATTCTATGACTGTGGTGATGAAGTGCAGGGCTCAGTCAGACAAGCGTCATGTTAGCATACAGCTGACCCCTCTCGTCCCTTTTTTGCTTTTTTTTTCCTCACACTTTTTCCTCCATGATCCACCTCAATTTCTTCCTTACTCTGCCTTTGATCCTTCCCCTAAACATCCTGCTGTGAGTATTGCACACTTCAACAATGCCTTTGTGAACAGCCTATCAAACTTGCTCCTTTTCCTTACCCTTCCTTCTCTGTTGTTTTTTTTTTTTTTATCTTGGTGCTTCAGAACCCACCCTGAGCAGCTAAGGGTGTGTGTGCGTGTTAATCTTAAGTGTTTTGATTTCTGTGTCTTTTCTGTTTGCAGGGCCCTGTGGGACCCCCAGGAGACAAAGGGTCATTGGTACAGTATGTCTTTCTAACTACACTTAGATTTTATGGGGAGGGGACAACCACATTAATTGTATTGCTACCAATGATTTCATGAAGGCATGTTTAATTAGTTTATTTTTGCCCAAGATCAGCAGGGTCACAGGGTGGCTAACCCTCCAAAGGGAGCTTCTCTTGTGCATTACCAGCTACTTGTCTGCTATATTGAGTTGTGAGAAAGAGTTGATCTAGACTCTTGGCATGGTGACTTTTCCTTACTTGTCAATAGCCCTACAAAAGAAAGAATGAGCTACTTGCTTAACACTTCATTCAAAAAAAGTATTTTAAGCATATAATTCAAGGTACACTGCTATGTCTTATAGGCAAGGCCTCAAAGTTTTAAAAGAAAGCATTTTTAAGTATTTTTCTTACTTAAATCTTATAGATAACCTTGCATTTCAGTATTCACCAAACACACTTAGTTCCTCAACATGCAGTTTTACAAGGATGCAATACACTGGTCTGAAACAAATAACTGTGTACCGTGGTCTCAGTATACACTGGCATGAATTTCCAGCATGACACCCAGTCCTAGCCACTGTACCAGCTTGGCACTGGGGAGATGGATCTTCTTTTCTCCTCTAGTCCTGTGCGCAGTCGTATTTTCTCCCTGTTCATAAACTTGCCTCCTCTAAAGATTCATTATTACCCTTACAATCAAGGTATGTGAGGTTTGAATTTAGTGATGCACGTAAAGTTCCTTGAGGCACAGAAGTGACTGATACTGTAATAGTGCAATGTGAGATTTAAATTTTTTTTCCTTAAACTCTCTCATAGTTGTTTAACTGCTAGTCAATTTTTTTTTCCCAATAACTATTGAGTTGCGGATTTCTTCTCTTCAGCTAAGAAGTATCTCATAAGTACTGTCCATGTTGCTGGGTTTGTCTGTTCTCTCCCTACCAGGGTCCCCGTGGTGTACCTGGTATCCCTGGACCACAGGGGCCTCCTGGCCAGGACGTAAGTAAAATAAAAGTGTAAGTGCTCAAGAAATTTAACAATGCTCGAATCTAATTTCCCTAAATCCTGTGTTTATACTTAGCCACAGTCGTTGAGGACAGTTCAAGGGAGATGATTTGCAGAAATGGAGTTCTTACAAGTTAGGATGTCAGGGGGAAAACAGGGTAAGCAGGGTTGTCTCAAGGAAAGCAGTGGACTTTACCACTGAACCATTTTCAAATTACACTGGAGAACAGACTTGACAGCATACACCGAGGAAAGTTCCCACACTGGAACAGGATGCTAGTTAAGCTGTCTAGGAACTTCTTAGAAGCCGCTGAGATAAGTAGCCTGTAATATTTCTATGAAAACAGGGCCACATCTGTATAAAAGCTCTTTGTGGGTTCATTTTGCTACTGCTACGATGCACGAGAGATGACATTTTAACCTCTTGGTGCGTTGTCCTAGCTCCTGCTGTCTCAGTGGGTGAGTCATGGAGCTGAGGGATAGAGAGAAATATGGCAGACTCCCAGCTAGAAAGCTGACCCCTCTCACTGCCTGGCTTTGTCGCAGTGTTTAATCAGAAAAAGAAGTGTTTTTTTTCTCTGCTGGTCAGCCAGCTCTATGATGTGGAAACCTGTCCTGAAGGAAAACCAGCAAGGAAGCTGTGAAGATTTTGAAAGGCTTGATCTTTGGATTTGTGCCTGTTGTGGGAATGCTGTGGGGAGGTGGAGTGGCCTTCTGTAACTCTCCTTCACAGTGCTGCTTTATGATGCTGTCATGTCTGAAATGGGTACCAGTTTTCACAAAGTCCTTGGCAAGAGACTTTCAATCATAGCGTGGCTTTATTGATGTAGGTCAGCTGGACTAAAGTGTGTACTTTCCTATGGTATGGATCTCCTTTCCTCCTTCAGTGTTTGGAGAAGAAGGTCTAGTTTTCTTCCCACCTACTTTTTCACAAGACAAATGATTATGGACAGGGTATTCCTCCACAGCCCATGATAGTAGAAATGATCCTTTGCCTCCATCATCCTGTGGCACTGAGCAGCCACAGGTTCAGGATTGATTGTGTCCTGCTGACTGCCCTTAGATCTCCTCACCTTGTCTCAGATGTTTGAGATTTTTAATCAAGAGATTAAATAGGAGATACAATAGCTGGGTTTATTACAACTGTATTGTGTGAGGAGAGTGCTAGAGCCAGCTTTTCTGAGTCTTTTTCTGGCTCTACCCAGATTAGCATTCACTGGTCAGCTCTTGGAGAGGCAGTGCTACAGTCTTTACCTCATTCCTTTCCCCCACAGAAAATTACCCAAACAGAACAATTCCTTATGGTACTTATAAAACACATCCTCTATTGCACTAACTATTTTAATTGCACTCAGTATGTCTTTTAGGAGCTCTCTGTATTCTGGTTGATCACCTGTTAAGCAATTCTACCCGTGTTTCAGGAATTGTAAATGTAACTACAGGGCACATTCCAACATTTCTTGATATAACAGCAGGGATACCTATTTTGACAAGATCATGCATTTGCAGTTTCTTGATCTCCACTTTCATTTATGACTACTACAAAGGATTTTTTGTTCTGCTTTTGCACTCTTGTATATCAGTGTAGTACTCCTATATTCTTTGAAGCATGACCATTTTTGTACTCCGTCGTGTTTAAACAGTATGTCATGAGTCAGGAAAGCTCCAATTTGAATTGCTAATATGAATTTGCTGTGCAACTCCCAAGACATTCATTGGCAATAGACTTAACAACTTGCCTCAATGTCTTGGTTTTTGCTGTGGCCTTTGCCAATGTATTCCATGTTTTTTTTCCGAGACTGGATAATTCTTTTAAATCATATTCACATACATTAGGTTATTCTCTGCATTATTTTTTTTTCAGTTGCAGACTCCTCAGATGCTCTTGGAAGTGGCTGCTATAAGTTGTTGTATTCCCTGATACTGCAAATCAGATTTACAGTTGTATTTGGGGAGATGGAAGAGTCAATACTTCTTTCACAATAGGTTTGGCCAGAATTACGTCCCATAGGTGAACAGATTGGTTTTTTTACATGACTACATTCTAACTTTCTAGTGCCCTAAAACCATGTGCCATTTTTTTTTTTGCAATACCACTGCCCAAGGTCACCTTTTGAAACAGCTGTTGGCAACTCAATCAAATACCAAGAGTTCTCAGGACAATGTCTTGTTTTATTAAAATTTAGGTTTTGAAAATCCTTGTGTAGGTTTACAGTATAGTTGGGCTGTTTTGGTTTTGTTCTGTTCCTCACAGAAAAAGTCTTGGCGTTGATTTGTCCTCACTATGGCGTTTATTTGTTCACTATGTCCATAAATCCCTACAGATTCTGTTCTTCTGGGACAAAGCTGGGACATATTATCTTGTCCTATTACATTATTTTGTTGTCTTTAAATTTGTATTTTTTTTCTGATTAACTAAAGCTCTACTTCGTAAAGCCTGAAAAGTGCTTTTTCTAGGCTTTTTTGTGGTCTTTGTTTTCCCCTGTAGTAGGTCTAACATTCCATATAGGACTACGACATATTGTGCCTACTTTCATGCCCTCAATTACTTCAACTAATTACACTACTATTTACACTTAGTATTGGAAAAAAAAATCCAAATCACATTTTAAGCTGGCAGTATTCCTGTACAGAGTGTTAAAAAATAATAGCCTTAAGTATTCTGAAAGTTACAAAAATGTATTTCTTCATGTTGAGTGACGCTATGTGCATGGCTGCCTCCTCCAGCTGCTCCAGACCAGGTCCCTCCTGTCTGGTCTTTGGTGCCCAGGACCCAGGGCTTCTGCGCTGATGGAGGGATGCAGCTCTGCTTTCCCGTTTGCAGGTCCAAAGAGTAACAAAGCAGCACTTGAATCCCAGAGATACGGACTTGGACACACAGACACAGAGGACACTGACATGGCTGATCACACAGATTGCCACAGACAAGGTTCTGCCTTCAACATTACCGACATACAGGACTCACAGACAGCATAAGCACAGACAGCCAAGTCCCCTCCTTCTCTTCAGCTGTCAGACACTGAAGGTCACTCGTGGTGGCACACACACCACTCTTTAGGTTCACAAGAACATGCATATTTGCAGATCCATCAAGCATTGTCACAGCCCTTTGTCCTGGCACCCCTACCCAGATCCTAGACCCCCTACCCTCCCCATGGGTCCCCTACTTGCCTGCTTGTCCAGCCTGATGCTCGCTACAAACACACAACACTCAAACACTTGTCTTATGCACTCCACACTTGCAGTTCATGGGCATACCAGCATGGACTCACCTGATACCCCAGCCTGGGCACAAGTCCCCCTACTTGCCAGCTGGTCCAGATTGAAGTTAGCTGATGAATACACACACACCAAGACTGGTGAAGATATAGACACTTGCCCCATCCCAGCTGGCACCAGGCACACAGGCTATGACCTATGGTCCCATGCCAGCCACTGTCGTGGAGTCCCTCACTCACCTTGCTCATGCTGGTCTCCCCAGTAGATGGTTTTGGGAACACACACCCTTCCCACCCCACTGGCTGAAGGTTAAAGACCCTGTGCTCACTCCAGTAGCTTACAACAGAGGCTGGTCTGACTCCACTAGCTGGCACCAGTTTTCACTGGCATGCACATACAGGTCTCACCAGTAGCTGGCAATTAGTCCTTGCAGCACTCATGAACATTATACAGCGAGATTATTAAGGAAAGCCTTAATAAGAAGATATAAGATGATAGGACAAACCATGGTGATCAGGTGCAGGGCTCAGCCAGACACTGCCAGCCCCATTTTACAGATGACTGGACCCTTTTATGCCCTTTCCTGCCTACCCCCCTGTTTGTTCCTCTCTGCTCCCCCTTCCCCTGCACATCCCCTCATGCATTTCCACAGCTCTATCAATTCCTGCACCCGTCCCAGTTCAGGGTCCCCCCGGTTTACAATATTATCTCTTCTAAAGTCCAGGTTGATCTTCCTGGAAGTGCAGCCTGTGGTTTATTGATAGCCCATCAATTAATGTGAGTGGCAAGGTTTGTTTCTTATTAGGTCTGTGTCTTGGTGTATTTTGTTTCTGAATTCCTCCTTTTTCCTTAGTTTTCAAATTGACAAGGTCCCAGATCAGATAACCATGCTGGAATAAATCTCACACTCCCACATGCCTTCATCAATTACTCTGACTGTCCAGGTTTGGTTCCCATCACTGCCTCCCTTATTTGTTGGACAGGTTTGTGTCCCTGTGTGTTCTTGTTTATTGCTTCCTCCTTGTTTTCCCTTGTTGCATTGAAAAAGATCCTTGACCAGATACCCCTAAAGGAGCAGACAGTCTCTGGACAAATACGCTTGCACTACACATATTTTGGGAAGCATCCACTCTCCTCTGTCTGTCTGCTGGGAGATAAAATGTTTCTGTTCAACATACCTACTTAGTTCCCTTAGATTAGAAAACAGTCTGAATGAGACATTGTCTTGTCCTACTATTTGCAATAAGGACACACATTTAATAGGCTCTTTCTGTATTTTGATTATGATAATCTTAATTAACATAAACATTGAATTAATCACTTTTTAATTATGTTAATTATTTATAACTAATTTCCAGAAGTTAATCTTCCCCTGCATTTATTTTCATAATTACAGAAACTTTGTGAATGCATACATTACTGCCATCGGATCTGAAAAGCAGATTTTTCTGTTCTGGGGTTGATTTTCCCATACAGTTAGGAGAGTTTCAAGGAGCCTTTGTGTTTGTTTTAGTGTACACACACCCCAAAACAGAGCACACTTATTAAAGCTCCTATTGGCTTTTTTATTCTTGGGATTTACAATCTATTTAAGCTATTGCATTTCAAGTTTAATTTTCAGTCTTGTAATAGAACTACCCCAGCATAAGCCTGTGTGACTGGTTTCCTTACACACTTTCTCTATTTTCACATACATTGCTTACCTGAGCATCATTTTTCAGCATGTCATCTGCACAGCTTCCATCAGTTCCCGGTTAGAGACCATTCCTGCATGTCAGATTTTGCAGACCGATAGAGTACTCTGGATCCTGTGCATCATATCTCCTCATTGCTGACATTTTTTCTTGCACTGGTGTGCTGTACCACTCATTGGATATTCTACTTTGTGCCAGCCACTATTGGCTGCAATCTCCTGAAAATGTTCAAACTTTTTGAGCTTTCCAACACTGGTCATTATTTGCATTTGTGCGTGTTCCCACATCGCATTAGAAGCATTTCTTTGCAGTGCTGAGCAGTTTTCTGGGCAGACTCTTTATGTTCTTTTTTTTTAAATTTTCTGGCTTTCTCTTTTCCAACTTCCTCCCCTGTTAGTCAGCTTGTCAGATGCACTGTGCCTTACATCTAGCATTTTCATTGTGCTCTGAGAAATGTTTGCAGCTTGGCCCTTGTTGTCAGCCTTTTTCTAACTCCAAGCCTCTGTTGTCCAGAAACCTTTCCTCTACTTTGGACTCTACTTCCAGTTGCCTGTTCTCTGATAATGCAACATGCTGGAGTGCTATCATCCTACATCTGGTTTGTTCATTTCAGCTCAGACAAGCATTCCTCAAAGGACACTGTCTTTTGGCAGTCTTATACCTTTTAACTGTTTTACTTTGTCTGGGGATGCAGTGGTTTTCAGATTTGTCAGCCGTGGCACATAGCTTAATTTCTTATGCTGGCTTATTTGCACCCTGTTAAAGACATGACCAGCTCCACATCATACAGTGTTCAAGAAAACAGGCCCGTCCCTTTTTGTCTCAAGGGAATCTGATACCATGTGGCTATCACAGCCATGCTTAAATCTTTCCTAGGATCTCAATTTTAGTCACTCCCTTCTTGTGTGTCTTTTCTCATAATGAAGAAGTATTTTCCTATATTCTCCTTTAAATAAATCTTCTTTAAATGCTCAAATTCCACTGCTAGCACCATGTCATGTGTCAGATCCCTAAGCAAAAGGCTGTCAAGGAGTCCTACAGTAGAAATAGTTTGTTGATAGCTATGTTAATAGTCAGCATGAAAAAAATTTCTAAATTGTCTTTTCTGTGTTGTTTTCTGATCCAGGACGATACTGATGGCTCAAGTCTTTGCTTTGCATCACACTCCTTAAAGCAAGAGCTGTGTGAGTCTTCCTGGACAAGTAGGTCTGGGAATATAAGATCTGTGTAATCGTTATTTAGGCAACCTTCTTCCCACTTACAGAAGTGTTTGAGAACCACAGTGGAGAGGATGCCCAAAGCATGACCAATTAGCATCTGTGAAAGAGAAGGGACTTTGGGAATATCCCACAATCTTCTACATTCACACTGCTGCTCTGTGGAAGAAGCAAAACTATAAATGGTATAACATTTCCTTGTATTTCCTCAATTCCCCAAAAGGACATTTGTGGGGAACTATGAGCTAAGAATCTTCTTCACACCTTATCTTCTCTTGGTGCTCACCTGCAGAAGGTTTAGTTCCTTGGAAACAAGCTTTCATCCATGGACTTCAGTACTACTTCAGTTCCACTTTAGCTCCACTTCAGTGTGTGTTTAATATTTATCTCTTAGAAAGTCAAGGTAACTGAAGGGTTGTTGTTCACCCAGAAATGTTTAATGTGGACATAGAAAAAGAACAACCAATGTTTTCCCATTTTCTTTCTCCTCTAGCAAGAGATATGGGATTTAAGTTACAAATGAGGTACAAGGATGAAATTAAAGTTTGCTCTATAGCTATAATTATGGCTTAGCAGAGTATCACAACTTTGCCTGCGTGCACACATAGTGTGCTTAAGTCCCAGGTAGCCAAGTAACTCCCCTTCTGGTTGTCTGCATAAATAATACAACGAACCGACTGGAGACAATGGATCAACCTGAGACAAGGGGATTGACAGAATGCCTAGTCCCCTTCCTGGCAAAGCATTTGACCAATTTTTAAAGGAGCTTTCCGAGTGGAAATTTTGGAGAGTCTCGGAGAGTCCCCTAGTCCCCCTGAGCCTAGACTGCTTGAAAGCCACTACTTGTATCTTCAGTGAGTTGATTAACACTGTGGGTGGTGAACCTGGCACCACCTCAAAGACCTCTCCAGGTGGGTCCTGCTGCAGAATCAATGAAACTGAACCCAGATAAGATGCTTCTAAATGGTCAGTAGAAACTGTTCCTGCAGATGCAAAAATGGTCACGAAGGACAGCCTTTTGTATGTGGTTGAGATAGAAGATATTTTTATGTTCTTTAAGGTATTCAATATAGATAGAACATACATATGCTTGAGTGATGACACAAGGTAACAGGCCATCTGGATACAGGAATTTAGGAGAGAATAATTTGGGGAACTCTCACGCAGTCCAGCTTGAATCACCACTGCAAGGATTCTTGCAATGCAAATTTCTGTCACCATCCGGACAGTCACCAACCATCCTGTTCAAAAGATTCAGTTTCCCATGTAAGCATTACTTTATGCAAATATTTAAAAATAATATTCTGTTTTGGTTTGTTTGTGTTTTTTGTTGTTTGGGTTTTTTTTATAAACTAATGACAGGGAAGAGATGCCCACTTGGGTGGTGGCAGCAGGGGTGGTGTCACTTTTCCAAACTATGACTTCCTGGACCTTAAATTCTAAGGAGACTAGTCAGTTCTGTGCCTTCATCTCATGAAAACTGATACCAATACAACACCACAAACAAACAAACAAAAAAGCTTATTGCTATTTCAGGTTCAAGGGACCTGTTTGCAAGGCTCGTGCAAAGCAAGGTCTTGATTTTGCATGTTAACATGTGCCTTCAGGGATTTAAAGCTTCATCCTTCACACTATTGCAGTCCATAGTGTTTCCTGTGACCAGAAGACAAGCTAAAACAATTTCAGTTTTTGTGTGACTCAGACAAATTTAACAAGGTCATACGGTAGATAAGTGAGATTTAGGAGGGGTTCAGAGGACACTAAAATTGCAGATAATTAAAGAAGTTTACTATTTGTCACATGCAAGGAGCAGTGGTGCTCAGTGGCAGAAGGTAAAATGTATGCTTGTCCAGAGCAGTCGGCAGTGTGGGAGGAATCAGGGGGGTTATTGTATGATAATTCCACTTTTTTTTCTTTGTCTTGATCTGTAGGGTCTACCTGGAAATCCAGGGGAAAGAGGACCTCCTGGAAAACCGGTATGTAACTTCACTTCTATATTAACGTCTTCCATTTAACTCAGTTTCCGCTTGTACATCTCACCTCCCAATTGCACTTCAGTGCATTTCCACTGCTGCTTTTTCCAGCAGAGCAACTGGAAAAACACTAAGAACCCTAAGGGGTTAAGATAAAAATATCTGTGATGGCTTTGGAACAGTATGAAAATACCTGGATGTCCTGCATGTAAGTAAAAGCCAAAATTTTAAAGGCACTTTCATAGCACTACTATGCAATACCCTCAGCAAGAACTCATCTCAGGTGTGATGAAGTGCATTGATAATATAGAGCAGGATGTATGTGTTTGGCCCAGTGAGTTCTAGGCAGGGCAAGGGAAAGCAATGAGAGTCCATAAGAGTGTTCAGGAAAATTTCTTGCATCATGATGCCTTTTAAAATTGCCTGAGATAACAAATTTCTCATTCCACAGGGTTCCTCACCCCTACTCTCTCCAGAGGACATAAATCTCTTAGTAAAGGTAATCAGCCTTTGATGATGGTGGGAGTTTGTCTGTATGTTTGATTCAGACCTGACTAATGATGGAGTCATTAGGACACTCCCAGTGATGGGAGTGTCTGAATGACAAGTGCAAAAGGTGCCTTTAAACACTCTGTCAAAGCTTGAAACATGCAAGTCTCCTACTTGCACTGGTATTGGGACACTAGAGCACATTCTGGAGATCAAAATCCGATGCCTTTCAACCATCCCCAGCAGCAAAATGACCTACAAAAATCTTTATAACATGGTGTGTGTTACAAAAGCTCTGAGACTTTTTCAGCTCTTTCTGAGGCATGCATTACCAAGCAGTAATAAACACTGTCGAGTTGTATTACCTAAACCAGGAAATGGAAAACATTTTAGTAAAATGTCTGATTTTTCACATATACCTTCAACAGGGACTGGAGTAGTTTTGAACTGTGAGTGCAAAGTCAGTTTGTACAGTGCATCTAAGAAGATGCAGGTAATTAACCCCAAATGCACCCATGTTTCAAAAGTGAAGATCTGTCCATCTGCTTTTACTCTCCATGTAGAGAGTTGTCTGGGAAATAAGTCAGTACTTGATAGGTGTTGACTGCAAAATCTTCACAGGTTTACATGGGCTGAGTTGGGAGATTTTTAAACGGACTTGGGACATCACAAGAAATGCTTTCTTCTTGGTTGAAAGAAATTTTAAAATTGCCTTTTTTTACCAACCGCATTAACAAAAGGACCCTGTTAAGATTGCTACTGTGAAATGCCTTCATTTGTTCAGATTGGTGTAGACACAGTTTTCTAGTAGTCTTGTAGCTTCAAAACAAGGTTGTTCTTGGTTATCTTGCTTTGCAGCTCTCTGACTCCAACTTAGGAAGAGCTCTTCCTTGGTTTCTTGATCCTGGATGATCATTTAGGACATGTCCAACTAGAACTGATAGGAAACTCCCATGGGAGCATGTGTGACCTCAGCAACTGACCCTCGCTCTGCCCCACACTGCTCTCATTTCAGTTCTATAGGGCAAAGTAACCCAAAACCTACCCAGTGCGGTGAAACTGCAAAGGCCTACGTATTACACTAGTACCACACTGCTGCATTCGTAATAGGCGTCTGTAGGGTCTGCTCAGTGCCTTCCGTCTATTCCTAACTTATTTCTCCATATTCTCTCCTAGGATGTGTGCAGTGAATGCCCTCCTGGCCCACCAGGACTGCCAGGCATCCCAGGTTTCAAAGGTGATAAAGGTCTCCGAGGACCACCTGGTAGAGATGGCCAGGATGGGAAAATGGTAAGAGAGCTGTGGAAGTGACTATGCCTTGGATGTGGCATAACCTTGTTTTTCTTATAATATTTTTAGATGGTTGATTTTTTTTTTTTTGTGTCAACAGCCTACTGAATCTTTTTTAGATGCCTGTGAAGTCAATGAACTAAACTAATGGTTACCTCTACCTCTTCTGCATTGCAGGGGAATGCTGGTCCCAGAGGTCCTGCAGGCCCACCTGGGCTGGATGGCCCAAAGGTTGGTTGGTTTTCTTCAGTTGTCTAGGGAAAACTTACTTGTGACTAGTTAGTACACTGGCTGAAGCAGGATCTTGGTGGCATCCATGTCTGTAAAGAGGTAGGACTGGCCTGTTGAGTGGGCCTTATACTGGCAATTCACCAGAGTGCCACATGGATGCAGAACTGCACAGCTCCCCATGCGAACACTGTTTCACTTAAATGCTGTCTTTTACCATCCCTTTATTCACACACGCACACACAAGTCAAGGGCCTGATTCTTGATGTTGAATTTCATTATATTGGTGTTTTGATGGCAGATAAAGACTTGAAAGTAAGTTTCAATCAAAATCAAGTGAGGAAGAAATTAAAGCCTCAGCAGTAGCCACCCTTCCTGTTCCTCTCCTCTTTGAATCCCATATGCTTGAATCACTTAAATTAAGGATGATGCAATGGGCTGCTGGGCTCCATATACCCTATCTGCCATGGTGATTTTAACCACAAACTCATAATGTTTTCTGAAACACGCTATAGGAATAACTCCTTGTTTCAACTATATGCTTCTGCCTAGTGGTCTAAGGACATAAGTCAACATAAAACTTCCAATGTCTGAAGGATTTCAACAATGTCACATTTCAAGTATTTCCCATGAAGAGGTCTGTCATCAGTCTGCTCATAATGCCAGTGCCTGGTCACAGTCAAAACCTTTACAACTGCCTACTCTGAAATAAATCAAAACAAATCAATGGAAGGAGAGATAAGGTGATTTCATGATGGGCCACAGTTTCCTCCAGACTTCCCTGCATTACTGACCTACCATCTAAACCCACTTCTGCTATTTTAACATCTTTGTATTTGGACTTATTAGAGCGTAGGACAAGCTAATAGATATTCATGAATTAATTTTATATCTTGCAATTAAAAGTGTGGTGGAGAGAGCAGTAGAGTCTCAAAAGTAAATATAGGGTTGTTCAAAATGAAAATATGTTCCAGGAAAAAATTTGCAAAAGAATTATTAACCTATGAAGACAATAACTGCCAGAAATGCAAAGCAGTCTCAGATGTACTACATCTGCTGCTTTCTTATATGCTAGGAGAAAGCAGAGATTTGGGCAGCAAGATCGAAGGTGAAGTAACAGGACCGCTTTTAAACTGCACATATGCTTAAAACAAAATCAAGTAATTGAGAGTCTAACTTCTATTCAGTAAAAAGGCAGATTCACGGAGTCTGCAAATGTTGAAAGAAGATATTGTAAGACCCCTAAGAAGGTGCAAACACAAAGACAGTAATTGTGACTCCTTTCTAAATACATAGGAGGATCCTTGCAGTGAAAGACCCAAAGAGCTCTGCACTTTTGAAGATGTAGTATATTGTCCTTACCAACACCACCCACACTTATATTAGGTCCCATTCTGAAACAGAGCAGTAGCACTGCAGATCTTCGCTCATAAGCAGATTCATGACTTCTGGCAATAAGAATTAGGACTCTCTTAATTAATAAATAGCAGCCCTCGCTCCCCTACTTGTCTCCTGGCTCTCATGTAATAAACCAGAGTATAATTTCCATGACCAGCAATTCATTAGTGTTCTGTGCATTCATAATTTGTTCACCATCATCTCAGTTTTTTTCACTCTGTGAGACTCATCTTGCCTTACTTTAAGCATTGATAGTGCAGACACCTACATTTGAATTAGCTGCCTCTGTTCTGTTGTCATTAGGACAGAAAGAGAGAGACAGAGGGGGGCGCTTTCTGGGTATGAATTTTCTGCCTGCACCTTAGAATTGACATTTTTACTGCTGCTGTCCCTGAAGTGAGAGGAGATTACTAGCTCGTACTGTGGACACCTTTGTTGGGTGAGATGATTCCTTATCAAGATCTGATTTAGTGAAGTTCTTAACAACCTGTCTACTTTCCAAGTCCGTGAGACTACATCATAAAAAAAAGGGCTGTGCTGGGTTTGCTCAAAGGCCATTCTTCACACATATTCCTGGCTCCAACGTTGGTAATGAAAGTCTAGGGAAGAATTTAAGAGGAAAGCAAGCAGGAGTCAGTCCTAATTTATGAGTTTTATGCTCAAATGTCCAAGTACTTTATGAAATAGGTCAAAAAGCTGATACAGAACTGAATCTAAGTTACTGTCAATAGGTTGTTTTTGTGTTTTTTTTTTTTTTTTCATTAACAGGGTGCTAAAGGAGACCGTGGTATGACTGGGGATGCAGGAGAAAAAGGTGAACAGGTAAAAACAGAGTGTGCTTTCCAACAGTGCCATCACTGTGATTGTTCCTTCATCAATGTCTGCAGAGGAACACTCTTCTCAGAGACAGAGGAGGAAGATGGGAGCTCTTCATCACTGATAAACCTCAAATGGGCTATGCTGAACAGTGCAACTGTAGCAGTCCTCCACAAGCTTCCATCCCCATCTCCAATAAAAACCTTCCCATATGATCCGCTTCCTCACCTCTAGATTGCATGCATTCAATTCTCTACATTATATAACCGTTAGTAATTTCCCCAGACAATGCTAGATGAGATTTGGGAGATCAGATGTCTTTGAGTTGAAAAAGCCAGTGTTTCTATTTATCCTAGAAGATAAATATAAGGATGACCTCTTTTAGGAGGGACTGAGGAAAGAAGAGAATGGTCTAAATTAGAGCAAATTTTCATAGTTAATTTTGCCAAGGGCTGAGTCAACAGTTTAAGGTGCAAATCAGCACCTCTTCAATGAGATTTGTAGGACATTTTAAACAGGTTTGGTTTCCTGCCTGTTCTCCTGCCTTGTATAATTCCACAATATCTGTTCTCATCTTCCATTAGCATAGACTGAAGTACACTTTAAAAAAAGTACACCTTAAATTTAACTGCATTTATTTCTGAAGTGCATTCTTTGAAAACCTAGGTTTTGCTTTAAAAAGCCATGGTTTTTATTTCCTTAGAATCTGCTATCCTGGTTTGGCTGGGATAGAATCCTAGGCCAGCCATGCTAGGCAGGCCATTGGCAGTTTTGAGTCAGCCAGGGCAGCTGACCTGAGTTAGCTCCAGGTGTAGCCCATCCCATAATGTCGTGGTCATTATAAAGGGGGAAGGTTTGCTGAGGAAAGGGAGCTCCTATGGGGCTCTTGCTGGGTGTGTTTTCCTGCTCCTGAGAATTGATCTCCAGTTGTTTGTGACTGCTGCATATTCTTTTGACTGAGTACAACCTTGTATACCTTTGTTAGTGTTACTGCTGTTTTATTAAATCTGTTTTCTTTTCAACCCATGGGTCTCCTTTTCCTTGTTCCCTTTCCTGGTGGTGAGGAGTCATTGGATGACAGAGCAACTATTGTAGTTTAGCCCCAGATATGGGCTAAGTATAGATACCAGCTCTCTGTGTATTTTCTCATTTTGATGTTACCTCACAATGTTTTGTCACCAGTTAACTTGTATACAAATAGAAATGTGAATCATATGTAAAGAAAGTTTCTCTTTTTGTTCTGCAGGGCCACCCTGGAATGCCTGGCTTTTCAGGGGCTCCTGGAAACCCTGGTCCACCTGTAAGTTCCTCTTTTGCAAAGATGGCCCTCTGTCTTTCTTGCTAATAAATGTTGTTGCAAGCTCCATGTGGAAGAAAGAACCATTCCCATCTGTCTGTGCATTATATTTGCATTCTCAAGTGGGTTCCTAATGGTCCTCTGAGTGTCACAGAGCTCTCCACTCATTATAATTGCTTCAACTCAATCTGTAAATGGATGCTAAGCTTCAGTCACTCTTTATACAAGACAATGGTAATGAAAATTCTTCCACAGAGACTACTTAGTAGTATATATAGGTGTTTTCTTATATGTGGAATAAGTTTTCAGTCTAGAACCAGCAGATCTAAGAGTATTTTGTTCTCAATTTTACATAGTGGTATGAGACTGGATTGTCTCCAATTTTCCTATCTTGTGGGTTACTTTTGAATTAAAAGGCCTTTTACATGTGTCCCTCTTCATCAGCCCTAGCTCTACTCCTTCCACAAATACAATTACATTTTTTTTGAATTTAAAAATGAGTGACTGTGCAAGTGATAACTTGGCTGTCCTGCTTGTGATATCACTGCTTACACCCTCGAAGAGTTGGGTTTTTTTCCTTGAATGAAGGACCTTTCTTTCCAAACTGCCTTTCCTTGCCCACAGTCGTCGTGACTCATATTGCTGCTTACAGTGCAGTTTAGCTCTGCCATGCTGAGGGCTTGCAGCCTTTGTCTGTTCTGAGGATCAGTGCAGTCTCTTCAAATCTGAACTTACTTTGCACTGACTAAATGACAGAGAAGAGGATTAGATTAGAATTCTGTTTTCAGATGGTATCAGTGCCTAAAGGATGCTGAATGATTTGCTGCTTGGACAACACGTGGACCTGCTTTGTGGGTCATTTATGCTATTGTGAGCTTTATTTATGAGAAGGTAATAACCACAGGCATTTACCTTGTCTGTATTAACTTCATACTGCCACAGCCATAGGCTTATTTCAGTAGGATTAAAACTCTTAAAATTGTCCTACGAGACCCTCTGAATAAACTCACAGTGCGAGGAAATGTGTAAAGTAAAACTGAGCTTGTCAAAGCAGAGCAAAGTGATGTTCCTCTAGATATTTTTTTCTTCAACTTTTGCTGACTTTTTCCTCTGTCTGCATTGACTTGTGGCTCTAAGTTTGCCTGCCACAGACTGCTTCAAACTGCTCCCGTAATTTCTGTTCTTCAGTTATTTTTGTCAGAAAATTGGCTTTTTCCTATTTGTCCCCTATTTTCAGAAGGAAGGGCCAGGATCAAACTCAGATATCTGACTATTTCTGGCTTTGGAGGCTGATTGAATGCAGAGGTTGGCACTGCTTTTCTGTGATGAAAGAAGAAATGATGGCACGAATGCTGAACTGAGTGACTGAAGAAAACTTCAGTGCTGCCAGCTGTGGTAGAGAGTGTGATGATAAACATACAAAATACATTGTTTCTGCTTTATTTTGTTTAGGGACCAGATGGGGCACCAGGGCCAATAGGACCAGCAGGAAACCCAGGAGACATAGTAAGCTCTAAGCTGTGTGTTTCACAACCAGCTTCACCTGTGTTTATCTCTGTGAAGTAAAGCTGTGCTGAAACCCATGTAATGTCCTTTGAAAGCTCCCCAAAATATTCAGCCTGAATCAACTCTACACCTGCAAGTAGGACCTCCACAAATAACCACAGAGTACTCTGTTCTTGCAGTTTTGTTTACTCACCAAATAACACTCCAGATTAACCAGAGCATAATCCATCCATGGGACCTCTAAGGAGGTTTTTGTGCCTCTTGTCTGTCTGTCCTTGCTATTAACATCTCTTAGCCTCTAGAACAGCATGACCAAATCTTTCAGGATGCTTCATGACCCAGGCTAACACCTGAACTGTGCGTGGGGATTGTCAAAATTAAACCAGCAACCTGCTGAAGGATGTCAGAGCACAGACTGCTCAGATGCCAGTATCTAAGAAGATTCACTGGCACTACTGAAAATACTAGTACAGGTGTAACCTTTGAGAAGTCCATGAAGAATTTTGCTACTGCTGTTTAATTTGAAGGATGCTCAGGTGCTACTTTACAGTAATGCATCAGAAAAGCCTGGGAGAGAAGGGTAATTTGATGCTAACTTCAGGTTGAAAAGGAAAAAAAAAAAAAAACTTTCCCTGAGTAATTCATTCTGTTGAGCTGGAACGGTTTAAGACTGTGTAATTCTGTGATGAATTTCTAAAGCAAGGTTTTCTAATGAGCAAGGTGCCTGTTGCAGAACTATTTCAACCTGAACTTCATCATGAGTGAACAGTGATGGTCCTTCTGATAGCTGTTATGAAATCAGTGAGCACTCTCAGCAGAAAGGTCAGAGACTACATGGACAGGTTGGCTGAAATTCCATTTCAAATGGATGATCAAGGTTGAGACACTGTGAAAGAACTGGGATGCTATTGTCCAGTCCTGTAGAGTAAAGGGATTTCTTGTGACTGCCATCAAGGCAACTCTCATAACTACTCATTTGATAGGTATGAAATATAGATCTTCTGCTTCCTAGCTGGACACCTCATGCAGGAAGTTAAGGACTAAATGTTAAGTATAATTAACTTCAGAAAAAAAAGACCAGTGATTTCAGTGGTTTCTTCAGCTGTAACAACTTATAACTAATACTGGATGTTTTATGTGAATAGAAAGTCCTCCAGTTTAAACTAGAAGGAACTGAAGGAAACCTCATACACTGTGTGACATGGGTTATAAAACCATCTTCTCACAGTTGTCCCTTGTCAAACTCTGTTTGATAAATCTTCATCTGATAGAAGCATCTGAGGAGCTTCTGACCCACAGTGTTTCTGCTTTCTTTCCAGGGTAAAGATGGCCCTCCAGGTCCACAGGGTCCACCAGGGCTGCCTGGACTTCCAGTGAGTGCAATTCAGCTCCTTCTAATTCAATACCTTAAACTGTTCATAAACACATAGATGTGTAAAACAAAGATGAGAGTTTTGAGGTGCTACGAAAGCTATGCATGATCTCTAATGGTATCTGTCATGTTGATGCTATGTCCTTGGTCCAGGACAGTGTGAATGCTGTATTTGATCACTTTAGAGCTAAGTGTTAATTACCAACGTGAATTGGGTCTGTTCCTTCTCTGCCTCCTCATTGGAAGAAATACTTTTATGCAAAGCAGAGAAATCAACTAACAGCTCCAGTGTAAGGGCACAAAAATTCATAGACTGGAATGCTGTCTTTATCTGAATCCACAGTCAAAATAATTCAATTTCACTGACTCAAGAGAATGTGTTTTGAGCATAGACTCTTCTCTTCCGGAAAATGTGTTTGAAAAAAAAAACCAACTCAAAATGGTTTACTATTTGACATGGGGGTAGGGCCAGAGCTATTTCTAGTGCAAAGTAGACTAGCTGAATGAAGATAATGGCATTATAATTATTTATAACAGCTGGTTTTAGAATCCTGTTTTAAGATTGTTGGAGTGCTTGCCTTGCTGAAAAGGAGGAAACCCCTTAGACTTGCCATATTGGAAAGGGAAACAGTTTATGCTGTTACAGTAGTGTGGCAAGGCGAGGTTTGGGGCTGAGTTATAGAAGTATGGTAGTTTTTGAAGAGTTAGGCAAACTTAAGTATGCCATGCTGAATCAGAGTTGTCCCTGTGAAAGTCAGACTGACAAAAACCACACCAATCTTCCATGTCAAGTCCTTCCTTATACCCTGTTATTTTGCATTTCATTTACAGGGCATTGCTGGGAATGATGGCAAAGATGGCAAGCCAGGATCTCTTGGGGAACCGGTAATGCAATTTAAAACTGTTCTGCTCAGGCAGTCAGAGCCTGCATCCAGTTATTGTTTTTGGAGCTGCCTATGTATGGACTCCTTAGGGGGGGGGGCAGGGAGCTTGTTTGCATGTCTCTCTCTTTTTTGTTTTTTTTTTTTTAACACCAGAAGGACTATTTTGTCTTGAGCAATTTGAGAGTCACACACTAGCAATCCTAAATGAAACAGGTCTTTTACATCTACCATAAATAAACTAAAACTTAGTGATTCTGCTTTTACAACTACTGTAAATATTGCAGAGAAAGAAGGTTGTTTTGCAACATTAAACCTAGTGATCCATTTTTTAGTAGACTATTATAGGGCATAAAACGTTTAGACGATGTGTCTTTAAAGAAGCCTTTTCTGGGTTGCTCTGTGACAATTCTGTTGTCCAGGATTAGCGATTTTATATTTGATTTTCTCTACTTAGTCTGTACTTGCATTTGCTGAGGGCAGGGGAAAAAGCTGAGCCATGAAGCCATCAGCTAAAAAAAATGTTAATAAACTGGGCAGTGAATGCCATTCCTTGCAACTGTGTGTTATATGAAGAATGTGCATTGTCAGTCTCTTTCTGTGAATTGTCAAATGGGACTTAGTGGTTCTGGGAAGAGCCAGGTTCCCAGTCATTACGACAACTGGTATGTAGAGCAGCACTTGTCACAGCAGCTGCAGACAGTTGTGTGCTCACATCAAAATACCTGGTTTATATGTGCAGATGCTGATTTTGTATGTGCTGCCTAGGTATTGGTACAGTTCTGTGCATTACCCCTCCAACATTAAAGCACTGTGAAAGTGCAGCAGACCAAAGGTTTAAGCTGCCTTTGAACCTCAAAGGGTGCGTTTGTGACAGTATGGGTAAGGGTACATATGGGAATGTCTGTCACCACTGTCTTCCTTGCCAGCTCAGACTCCAGCATTGCTGGAGAAACCTGGGCAATCACAGTTCCCAGTGCCATTACATCTAAATCAGTAGAGCAGGAGGTTTTCAACAGCAGAGGGATGGACCTGAGACTCTCACTAACACAAACATGATTGTTTCCTATAGGGAAAGCCGGGAGAACCAGGGCTCCCAGGCCAGGAAGGTGCCAGAGGCTTACCGGTAGGTGCTGCTCTGAAGGGTTCAATCCATTCACTCTTCTATTCTGTAGTCTGAAAGATTTTGTGCGGCAGATGAGGTCCATTACTGACGCAAACATATAACCAAAGAGCTGGCCTGGCTAAGAATAGTCATGGAGTTGTGACTAGAGAAATAATCAACAAAAATTGAATACAGGCATTTCCACATCCTTCACACTTGAAGAAGAGTACGTCCCTCACATAGAAGTTAAAGCACATATCCTCATGACATCCCTTTTACCAGAAGGCATAGTCACAGCTGTAGCCCTTGTGTTCTGTTATGTGTCCTTCGAAAGGATGGGCACAGCACAATGAAATTTAGGGTTAAATAACCTATTGGTTGGTCACACCAGGAATACACCCACTACAGTCTTTGTCTTGAAGCCTAAGGAGCTATGGAAAGCTCTTCCTGTGATGTTGCCCTTCCTAACCACTCCCTGGAATGTGACAGCTCCATGCTGTCCAGTCCCCAGTAATCTTAGGCAAAGTTGGGAAGGTTATTAAGTAAACATTCAAGCTAGAGTTTTCTTAATGTTTCATGCATCAGAGTAATGGATAATTTATTTAATTCTCTTTTGTAGGGTTTCAAAGGGCAGAGAGGAGACACAGGTCCCCCAGGTCCCCGGGTAAGTAATGTATATCTCATGCATGATCCTTTGCAGAAAGATTGTGTGATTGAAGTTGACCTTTCTAAGGCAATAGGTAAAAACAATGACAGGTCTGTGTTCAACATGGCTGTTTTCAACTACAATTCCATGGAGCACACCCATGGCATAAAGTCACAACTGTCTTCATTCCCTCTGCTGAAGTTCTGGTTCCAGGCAAGGTGAGGCAGCTTGTAGAGCTGAATCCTCTATGCTCTCTTTGAGAGAGCCCGTTGTGAGGAAGTTTCAAGGATGCCTCCATACCACATCCCTCTGGTACAAATGCTGACACACAAGGTGAAGAACCCTACTGCACTTGGAGAAGTATTAACTCTCTTTCGAAATTGCCTAAGCAGTGCAAAATAAGTTTAGGAACAAAACTGACAGAAATGAGAATAAAAATGTCCCTAGCACTTTGACTTAGTTGCCTGTGGATCATAAAACTCAAAACTGAAGTCCTGCGTGAAAAGCTGGTCCTTGCACTTTCTGAGTAATGCAGTACAAAAAGCACCTTGGTGTAGAAAGAATACGAAATGGAATTTTCTTCTACCTAATTTTGGCTTTTTACAGGGAAGTAAAATGCTCTGCTCACAGGAGCTTAGCTAAAAAATTCAGTGCTGGAGTTCCTCATCTCTTTCTCATTATGGTATTTTGTGTATCATGAATAGGTTTTCAGTGACTGCACTAGTAGTAGCAAATATTCTGCTGGAAAGCAGTGCACTGCCTTGTGCATCACTTATAGAAGATGCTTCTGAGTTATTTTTATAAGCTGTTTGTCAGGTATGATGAACAGAGCTCTTGGTGGCTTTAAAAAAGTTTTCACTGAGTTCAGTCCAATATTACAGAAACCCCATACCACTTACAGTTGTATTACTGGTCTGTCTTTGACTTTGAGCTCATATCCCTTTCTTTTTTGCTGAATTGCAGGGGGAGCCAGGTGTGACAGGTCCTGCTGGTCGTGAGGGCCCACCAGGGAAGGATGTAAGTGTACCATTTTGAGCAGAAACTAATCTCCTTTTCCCTAACAAATTAAGATTTTAAATCACAGTGACCCTGACCTAAAACAGCTGCAGAAACTACAATAAAAGGTGAATTACTGCAGCATTGCACAGGGAATGAGTTGTGCAAAGACCACTAGGGTAACAAAGAATTTGAGGGCCTTTGTCACTGGTCAGCTGCTGACACTTAAATGTCAGCTATATCTTTAGAAAAGCAGAGAAAGCTGGATTGTTTGAATCCCAGGCTGTGTTGTGTAGCCATGGATCTGCTTTCTGCCACCTGTCTCCAAGCAGTGCTTCATTCTGCAGGTCCCACTGGGCCAGGTCCTGTCACGCTTCCTCTGCAAAAGCTGTACTTTACTGAATGCGTAGCTTCACTGAAATCTATGAAATACCTATGGAATAAGATGATGCTGCTTGGAGGAAAGAAAGATGGTACAAACAGATCCTCTGACATTATTAGTGTCAAATGCAGTCACATAACAAAGCCCTGGGAGAGTGCAGCTGACGTGGGATCCTGCAGCAGCTGCTGAGCAATATACCAAGCGGCTGATGTGCCATTGTCATGGGACTTGGGGAAATGGTTTCTCATTTGCACCCCCTTGTATCACTGGAAAACTTGTGCTGTAAATGGTACCCTACAAAGTAAAATGGAAGATAGACCTAGGGGATCCCCTCAGAAGACAGAAGCAGGTCTTAAGCCTCCCTCAAGAGATAACAAAGTAGTCAATTCTTGAGAAATACTGGAGCATCTCTGTCCCTGAGAAATTCAGCTCTGATAACCTGATAATAAAGATTTCTGCCTGTAATCAGGCTGCATTTAGTGATAGATGTTTAAAATTCAGAAGGCTGGTCTTCCTCATACATAAGTGAAAGAAGGTAGTGATGCTTTTCCTTAATGCTGTTTCCTAATACGTGAACAGTGTAATTTAGTAGGAACATTTTTACAAGTGTTGCCTTCGTGTCAGATCTTTCCCTCTTACCAGAATACTTTTCTCCATTTCAGGGTGATACCGGTCCCATAGGACCACAGGGCCCTCGAGGACTCAGGGGGCAGCCGGTGAGTTTTCTCTCCTGACAAGCCATTTCTGGAGGTACGTTGTGTATAGTGGGAATGTCCTACAGTCCAGAAATCTGGGTTGGAAGAGGAGTCTTAAGAAAGGTGATGTTTGATTAAAACACTGCCTGCTTTAAGACAAATCACAGTGATATTGCTAGAAACTGACCATAGAATCATTAGGCTGGAAAAGACTTCTAAGATCACCAAGTCCAACTGTCAACCTACCATCACCAAGCCCACTAAACCATGTCCAGAAGTGCTACATCAACATGTTTTTTGAACACCTCCAGGGATGGTGACTTCACCATCTCCCTGGGCAGCCTGTTCCAATGTTTGACCACTCTTTCAGTAAAGAAACTTTTCCTAACATCCAATCTAAACCTCCCCTGGCACAATTTGAGGCTATTTTGTCTTGTCCTATCACTTGTTACTTGGGAGAAGAGACCAACCCCCACCTCACTACAACCTTCTTTCAGGTAGCTGTAGAGAGCGATAAGGTCTCCCCTCAGCCTCCTCTTCTCTAGACTAAACAACCCCAATTCCCTCAGCCGCTCCTCAGAAGACCTGTTCTCCAGACCCTTGACCAGCTTCGTTGCCCTTCTCTGGACATGCTCCAGCACCTCAATGTCTTTCTTGTAGTGAGGGATCCAAAACTGCACAGAGCATTTGAGATGATGAAGGCTTATAATAGTGCAATGGAGTTATGATTGCTGACTCAGTGGGAAGAACATTTTAATGGATTCTTCCAGGATTGCGGTGTCAGAAGTGCTCATATTACAGTCCTGCCTCTGGCATCTCACTCTCTTCTCACATGGCCTCAGTTTCCAAAGGCGGACACTAATTGCAGATGCCCAGTTTGGGATATGTGGGGTGCAGTTGTGATATACTATTCATTTTTGTCATGTTCTGTGTAATTTTTTCTGGAAAAAATAATTTTAGGAAAAGGCTTGTTTAATTGAACACCTGTAGAGTTTTATGACAACTTCAGTGGAGAAATGGCAATTTAGTCGACATTTCAAAAAGTGTCATTTAGGATGGCTGAGAAATTACCTTTATTAATTTCTGGGTTTTTCAGTTCTCTCTGAAAAAATAAACCCTTTCCAAATTTGAATGCAGGTCTCTGTTGCTGACCTAGGCGCATCTTTAATATGTTACAATGAGTGATTTTTTTTCCTTTTCGGAAGCCCTGCTAGTGGAATAGATTCTACATGTTCCATAATCAGTGCAAAATTCTGATTCAGCCACCAATGCCAGGAGCTGGAGCAGCAGGTCCCTCTGAGCTGGGAGGGTAAGGGTTTAAATTAGACTGCAGAAACATATGGAGAGCTCCTGTGTCTACCTTGTAATTTATCTCATTATTCCTGTACTGCTGCCATCGTTCACTAACATGTCATGCCCCTGCACAACAGTAGCAATGAATAAAAAGATACAAGGAGACAGAAATTATCATAACTCCAGGCCATATTCCTCGGAGAAGAGATGCTTCAGGTTTTGTATGTTGGAGGGCAAAGTATCAGTTTCTTTTGTTTTTCCTCTGCTTTGTTTCTTCTCTAATAAGGAGAGTGAGGCATGATTTTGAATATTGCCAGTGAAAG